ATACTTCTGACAGTTTGTGTAGATAGCCTTTGAAAAGCCCTTTTGTGTGGAACAGAAAGTAAGACTAAACAGAAGATTCTAAGAAGGCAGGAGATCGCTTGTGAATTTTACTTCCAGACATGAAAGTGACCTTCTGGAGGGAACATAAGCTTCTGAGTCCTATTCAGTCTCTTCCATAGACTGTGAGGTATAATTTAGTAACTTTCTCTGAGCCTGAGTTGTCTTAAATTAAAAAATAAGGTTGGACTAGAATCCTAAGTTTCATTTGAGTTGCAGTATTCTTATTCTTGCATTACATGATGGAAAAGATAACATATAGTAGTCAAACAGATTACCCTTCTAGTTACCCGGCAGCATGCATGGAAAATGTATTTTTCTTCTGTTTACTTACATCTCCAGTACTCCTAAAGGGGTTGTTACTTGGAGCATCTTTGATGGGTGCTTCTTATGGACAGTATTCCTTCCAACTTCCTTCTGGCATAAATGCTGTTAAAGCAAAAATTCTAAGCTCCATTCCATTTTCCTAATTCATACACACACACACACACACACACATACATATTTTCCAGGGCAGAATATAAATTACTGGTTTGTAATCCATGAATCACTACTATAAAATGACGCTGAAGTATTTGCTTTCAAACTCAAAAATTGCTAATTGCATCCAGTGGGTTGCTGACCACTTGGGTAATGGATTTAAGGCACTGCTTTTCAGACCACAGCTAACTGACTCTTTAATAGATATAATTTCATGTGTGCACTCAAGCGTTTTTCACCTAGTCAGTTGATGTTAGAGAAAATATACCAGATTGCCATTTTGGAGTTGTCTCATATCAGCGCCAGCAAATTACTGAATAGTAATGGAGCCAGGAGTCCCAGAATAAATTCTCTGCACTATTAAACTCTGCTAATAAGTTCTTCTCATTTCCCCTGACTTTATTTGTTCAGTACCTAGGGATAGAGAAGCTACTATAGTCCTGGATGTGGGGTGCTACGTTAGTTCTTCCAGGGCCAGGATTCTGTTGTAAAAAGAACTCTTGTTTATAAAATGGAAGGAGCATCTTCCTTGGGTCTTTCTGTCACTAAGTTTAAAGCTTGTATTAAATTAACACTCAAAAAATCATCTAAGGAGCAATTTGTTTTATAGTTTTCAACATGTCTTTTTTTTTTTTGGCATGTTCTGTAAAACACATATGGAAGATTAACAATCTTGTTACATATGTGCCTGTTGGAGAAGTGAATTTCCTAGTCACATTTTATATGATTTTGTAACCTAAAACACTGAACTCTAATGGCATTAAATCTTACGATTTTAATAATGTTTTCAATGGATCGCTGCATTGGAGTGGATAGCCTAGTAGTCAGGGAGTCAAAATGCTGAATAATCAGGGCATCTTATCGAGGGCAAGTTATTCAAGTTCTCTGAGCTCAGGAGAGGAAGAAACATACCCAATTGGTGTCTCTCAGGGCTGTTGTCACAAACAAACAAGATAGGGTATGTGACAGTGTTTTCTTTTTTTTGGTGGGGGAGAGGTTTTTGCTATAGGGCACGTGCACTCACCAGAAAAAGAGATAGAAAGCAAGAAATCACCCCCCCCCCAGGGGGGATGACCACACTGCAATCTCTTCTCCTCCATTCTCCTCTTGGGATCTTGGGCACACATGCACACACGCCTGGCATGAGTTTAAGCCACCAGGTCCGGGACTCAAACCGTGGTCAACTATATGGGAGTCCAGTGACATAGCCATTATGTCAACTGCTGGTCCCTGTGACAGTGTTTTCTACTATAGCACATACAATCAAAATATGAGATAGATAAGATAGAAAGCATGCATGTACTACAGTATTTCTAATTCTAGTATTCCTTTTTTCCCTCTATATGGTATTCCACATTTTATACATAAACAGAGCTAGTAAGGTTGACTTTCTTCAGTTATCACAACTGATTAACTCTCAATAGGAAACAAGAAATAAAGATTTAAAAGGAGTAAACTAAAGTGTTCCGGAGGTTATTTTTTCTCCTTGACATGTAAAAAGTAAAGAGACTACTAATTAGAAAATATTTTTTTGTATGTACCTCTATGGTCTGATTTTTATGAGTTTCCATTATCTGTTCAAGTATGGGAATTGAAAAGTTATAAGAACTGACAAGTTGAAACCTTTGGATTAGTTTCATCATTCAGTGGGCTTCTGCTTTCAGCAAATATATAAGGGGATTTCAAAAAGTTTTTAACGAAATTAACATATAGGTTTATTTTGGTGAAAACATTTTTGAAGTCTATGAATAGTTTATATTGATAATATGCATTTGTATTCATTTAAAGCCCCTCCCCCATATGTTTAGTTTTATGTATTAGAACCATATTTTAAGGGCCAGGTAGGGTTCATAGGTAAGAGTAAAACACCCAGAGGTGGTTCCTTGTTTTGGTATTATACTTTATTTAGAGTATGTCTTTAGAATAATGCTTTGAAAAGGATTTACCTGGACTAATGATAGTGTAAGAAATTGTTTTATTCTATTAATACCAACACATATGAATTTTTTGACAACCCAGTTATTTGCTTTATTTTTAATAATTTCAATTCAGAAGTACTGAATTGTTCATTCTTTGACTATTGCTTCAGTTAATGATTGCCACTTTGATAATATAAAATAGGATTATGATGAAACTACTTTAAGAATTGATGCCATACGCCGATAGAAGGAGTAGTAGGATTCCAAATAAATTCGTCCAGAAAGTATTTTTCCCCAGCCATTAATGAGGCATATTCATGAGTAACTTTTACTCTTCCTCTTTAGAATGTTCATTTTTGAGCCCCAGCTTAAAATCTGGGTAGCAAAATTAAGGGTGGTAAAAACCAGAATAAGAGGACCAAATTAGACTATCCTGTAGCCTTTATAATTCATTTCCTTTGGGGTTCCACTTTACTCTTCTTTTTCTTGGATTTTTTTTCTTTTTTTTTTTTCTTCTTTGTTTATACATTTTTCTCTGGAAAATTAGTGTAGTTTCTGGTGGGGAGAAAAGATATTCAGAAAAAGAAACTAGACAGGGGCACATACAAATAACTTAGAATATAAACATGTAAGTTAATGAAACGAGAGGAAACATTTATCCTACTTCTTCCATACCATTAGTAAATTAAATACTTGTGATTGATTGTTCATTTGTATAGCCAAACCTTGTATTATCTCAACTGCTATCTTAAATTTGCTGATGAAGTAATTCTTCACTGGTATTTCTACAGGGTTCAAAGAGAAATAAGCTAGGTTTTCAGAAACTCAGGAGTGAAAAAAATGTATTTTAAGATCAAAATAGTACAGTCCTTACAGCCTATTAGGAAATTTTGCTGATGATTAACTTCTGTTGCCTAGACTTGACCTCGCAGTCTGACTTCTGCAGGTTATGCCTTTGGTGTTTCAGATCTCCCATTTTGAGATACCTTCCTTCTTACTGCTTCGGTCATCAAATACACTGATATGTATACATATAAATAAACCAATACAAACCAGCACTTTTTATAATTATGTTGTAGGAAGGTTCTATGCTCTTTGGGTATTGGGTTTCTGCTGTTGCCTCAGTCATCTTTAGAGTTGATTCCTTCCTTTAGGCTTTGTACATTTCTCTTAAATGGCACTGATTTCTTTATTACCTATGTGGTGTCAGACAGGTTGTCCTGGTTGTCACCTGCCTCTTGCCTGGTGTTACTGATACCTTTGAGAGTTTATTATTGGCATCTGTGGTCTCTTTGTCAGTCCTCTCAAAAGGATTCTCTCATTGATTATTTTGCAATCTTCTTTTCTTAGACTTGAATGAAGCAGTCCCAGAGACAGAGCGCCTGGATTCAAAAGCACTGAAAACTCGAGCCCAGCTCTCTGTGAAGAACAGACGCCAGAGGCCCTCTAGGACAAGACTCTATGACAGTGTCAGCTCAACAGATGGGGAGGACAGTCTGGAGCGCAAGGTGAGCACCCCTGACTGTTTTCTGACTTGTATTGTTGTCCTTGCTGCTTATTTAATATAATGATTTTTCTGCTACCAGAGTTTATACTATACTTGGAAACAGCTGTAATAATAGTTCATATTTCTGTCTCCTGGATTCTTACTCAATAGATTGTTGTAATTCAAATTATATTTCTACTCTTTCAGTGAACTAACCAAGAGCATTATCCATATTGTCATATTTTGTAAGGATGCTTTTGATACTCAGCTGTTGGTTTTATCTAGTAGGAAATAGTGAATGTTCAAGTATTGTTTCTGTATGTCTTGGGTATTTGCTGCAATGTTAATATGGTGAATTGTATAAAGTATGCATACTTATCAGTAAACTAACAAGCAAAAATTGGTTTTTATGGGTTCACTAAAAATAGTTGGTTTATTTCAAAGGAAGTATTGTGTAGAACTGATACTCCATGGCATAACCACCTTTATAATCTCTTATACCAACAGCCTTCAAACAGTTTCTATAACCACATGCATATTACCAAATCACTTCCACCCAAGGGTTTGAGAACTTCTTCTCCAGAATCAGATTCTGGTGTTCCACCCCTCACCCCAGTGGCTAGCAATGTGCCCTTCTCGTCTGACCACATAGCTGGATTTCAAGAAGGACCACTGCACCCAGAAGGGGGGCCTTTCTCTTCTGTTTGGGGAGATACTTCACTCTCCTCTCCTTCAAAATCTGAACATGATATGGAAGAATCTCCTTTCCACCATCAAGCAGCCACCAAGAAAATATTACAAGAAAAAGGTATTGTTGGTTGTTTTGTTACTTTGTCTGACTTCACTAATACCATTTGTGCAATGTAAAAATGGCTTTTTCTCATAATCTTAAGTCCCTTGTCTTTTCACAACTAATAATATGCCATCCTTTTATGTTATAGGATAGAGAACTCTTCCCATCATCATATATTCTACCACATTTATGGTCTTTTCCTACCTGATTCTGTATTTTTATCTCTTCAGCTCTATATAAATTAAGTATTGAAGGAAATTCTTCAGGAGATCTAGATATTTTGTAGACCACATTTTCAATAAACACTCATATAGTCACAGAGGAAAAAAAAATAAGATGAAGATCAAAGTTGTGTAGGTCTTAACCCATGAATTGTTTTTTATTTAGAAGAAAATTTTGGAGTAATGACTTTTATTATAAAAATATGATAGAAAAGCAGTGATGAAGATGATATTATGAGGTTAGTCAATTAAATTTTAAAATTGGCTCCTAGAATTTCTTAGTAGTTTCAGTACACTTTTGTCTTTTTTACGTCTGTCTTATTTATAGAAATAATAAATTCTTATTTAAACAAATTAATGCAGACATGGATAGATAGGTTCATTTTCCTCATTTCATATCCAATGTGTTCCTTTAAAGTAACCAAGTAAGTTTGTTATACTATTGTTTATATTTTCACACACACATACATACACACATGCACACACACACACACACACGCACATACGAGGATACTTGAACAAGTTTGTGAAAAAAGAAATTAAAGTATAAGTTTATTTCGGTGCAAAAGAATTTGAAATTCATGCATAGATTTTTTTTTGTTTTTTTTGGAGAGATTTTCACTGTAGGGCGCGTGCGCTCGCCAGACAGACAGAGAGAGACATAGAAACAGAAAGCAAGAAATCACCCCCCGGGGGGATGGTCACGCCGCAATCCCTTCTCCTCCATTCTCCTCTCGGGATCTTGGGCACGCACGCACACGCGCCCGGCGTGAGTTTTAAGCCACTGGGTCCGGGACACAAACCGCAGTCGACTACGTGGGAATCCAGCGACATAGCCATTACGCCAACTGCTGGTTCCCCATAGATTTTTCATAATACGAATTTTCCATGAACTTTTTGGAGACACATCCCCTTATACACACACACACACACACACAGAAGAACAATACTTTTTTGGTGTATGTTTTCTTTTTTATATTTGTGGTTTTTTTGCTTTTACAAAAATGGAATCCTAATCATATTACCCTACAACTTTGTTTTATGCAAATAATATTTAATGGACATTCCTCTGTGCCTATATATACCAATTTAAATGATAGCAAGTCTTTATGTGTGTATGTCTGAGAGAATTCCTGTACATGTCTACTAAGAATCCTGTACAAGGGTATTCATAGCAGCCCTGTCGTGCTCTAGCAAGACCAGTAGAATGGATAATTATTTGCAGTAGACTCTTACGATGAGTCTGTGCAAAGGGAAAACAAATACACTACAGTGAAACGTAACAACAGCAGTGAGTCTCCAGAATAGACCTGAGAGGATAAAACCAACTCTAGACGAATACAGATGATTCTAGTTATGCAGAGCTAAGCAAAACTACCACATTATTTAGTGATGCCAAAACAATGTTGAGGCTGCAAATGGCCATGACAAAGTCAAAGTTACTTGGGGAGAAGAGATGGGAATGGGGAAAGACTCACTAGAGACCTCCTGGGTAAAGCTGCAGCAGAGCATGGCAGGTGGGTGTTCCTTTTATTGTTTGTTTATACTGTGCACCTATTTTATAGATACTCTTGATTGCAGTAATAGTAAATATAAAAAAGAACTCCCTATACAAAGTTAATTGAGCCACTTTATCTCTGATATATAAGTAGCTTCAAATAATTTTTAATAAAAAGTAAAAAAAATGTGCAATGGAAATAATAAACTGTCAATTCTTTTTTTTTAATTTTTAATTTTTTTTTATTTTGTCAGAGGGCGCATTGCTTGCTGGAAAGAGGGACAAAGTGTGAAAGTACCCTACCCCATGGTGAATGGTCGCATTGCAGTCTCTTCTACGTCTAGCCCTCCTTTCACTATTTTGGGCATGCATGCACATGTATTCAGTGTGTTTCTGACACTGTCAAGTCCAGAACTCGAACCATGTAGTGTAGGTCCTGTGGGCACCCACAACCTTAACTACTACACCACAGGCTGGTCCAACTGTTGTTTTTTAAGAGAAAATTCACATTACTTATATTGATAAAATACTAAAAAATCATCAGCCATATTAGTGATCAGAGAAATAGTTACTTAAATTAGATACCAAAATGCCAAATATGGCAGATTGCCAAAATCTTCCAGTTGGGATTTGCAGAATTCCATTGGCAGGGCCAGCAACGATGTGATACATTCATACATTGTAGGTGCATTGCACATCACCACAGTTTTGAAAATTCCACTGATTTATCTCTACTAGATCAAAAGTTGTAATCTCTTTACTTATACCTTCCTTGTAAACACAGAAATTGCCTGAAAACATAAAAATCCTCATTGACTAGGAGCTCACACTTTTTGTAACTCTTAGTAAGCACCATAGCTTTAGCTCTGTAATTTATACCTCATTTCCTTTCCTGAATGTGTCAACTGCTGAATTATTTTTCACATACCAGTCCTAAGCATGTCTCTTCTAGAAGCAGTTGTGATGTAAAAGTTGGGTATTTAGGGAGTACAGAACACCAGTGAAGGCAAGAGAATATTTGTCAGGCCTGGTAATTAGTCAGAAATGGTTGTCAGGTTAGTGAACAGCTTGACTGTGGTTTTGGCCTACTTTCAAAAGAACTGAAGACTTGAAAAGTTTTCATTAATTAACCTAAATTTTGGGTTGTAACAGCACTTTTTTAGAAATATTCTTGTGGCGGGACCAGCAGTTAACGTAATGGCTATGTCACTGGACTCTCATGTAGTTGACCGTGGTTTGAGTCCCAAACCTGGTGGCTTAAACTAACACCAGGCACATGTGTGTGCGTGCCCAAGATCCTGAGAAGAGAATGGAGGAGAAGGGATTGCAGCGTGGCCATCCCCACTGGGGAGTGATTTCTCGCTTTCTGTCTCTCTGTCTCTCTCTCTCTAAAAAAAAAAGAAAAAAAAGAAATATTCTTGTGGAAAGCCCTCTATCTTCTCTTTTAAAAAATATAATGTTATAAACTTTGGTCTGAAAGACTACAAAACAGCAGAAACATATAATACTACTTTGGAGCTATAGGTTAATACTTTGTGTCCTGCTGTTCGAGTTTATCGGACATCACTAGCTATTCATAAGAAATTACATTACAGTCAAAGTAGACCACTCACACATGAAATGTGATCCAAAGCTTTTAAAAAGTGACCTAATCTGGTCTAGATTATTTCCATCTGCCTTTTATTTCTAAATTATTTATGATTTTTTTTGAAGCAGATGTTTCCTCTCAGGTTGGAACAATAATCCATGTTTATGGATTGTGTTACATAGTCTTCAGCAGAAATGTGGAAATAAAATGTGGTAATTCTCCCAGCACTGCCCCAGAGCCTCCCTTGTTAGCTACTGTGCCTTCTTTGGGATTAAGTGTTCAGTGAGTGTAAGCAGGACCTGAAGAGAGGGGGTGGGTAGCTTCTTCTCCAGAGACCAAAATCTTAAACTTTCACATTTCAGTTTTCCTGGGCTGATCATCTTTCTGGCAGTTAATTAAAATTTTATAGAGTACTAACTTTATAGTGAGTTGCTAACATGATAACTGTTGTTAGATACTAGCTGTGACTAGATGAAAACAATGCCAAAGCCTCACATTTTTACCTTGGTAAAAGTTTCCAGCCTTGAAGCATTTTCAGTGTCTTTCATGGTCATTTGATATTAATCCACTTATTTGTGTGTTCATTCAACAAATATTAGGTCGTCGGGTAAGTCATGATGCATTTTTGAATAGAAAAACATAGAAAAATACGTCATGACTTTTCTGGTGACCTAGTAGTTCTTGAGCACCTGCTCTGTGTCAGGCATTGTACTAAAGACTGAGTATGCAATGATGAACATGGGTGTACCCTCTCCCTCAAGGAGTTCATATACTATTCTGTCTGTCACTACCTCTTCCTTGCTCTCTCCCCCCTTATTCCTCTTGTTTCTTCCTCTCTTTGTCTGTCTCTGTTTCTCTCATTTCTTGCTTGCTTGTTTGGTGACAGACTTCACCTGTCTGATACCCCGTGACCACCATCATCCCAACAACTGGGAAGACTCTATACTTTCTTGCCTTCTACATTCAAGCTCTCTTCGCACTTCAGAAGATGTCAGAGAGGGAGACCTGTCAGCCAAATGACCCTCAGACAATATCCTGTTAGCAGACAGTGCTTGAGAGGATCTGGTCTTCAGTTTTCTAATCCAGAAACTCAATAATGCACCCAGATTTTATCAAACTGTGTGACTGATTTATGCTGTTAGAAAAGTGTTTTCTAAGCCAGACTACTCATTTTCTCACTTATTTTGGGAGGTACAGCCAACATAATAAACAACATCCTTCATTTGTTCTGTTCTCTCTTCTGTTTGGTAGGTTCATAAATCAGAAAGTTGCTAAGTGAGCATAAAATTGAAGTTAAATGGATGCGTATACAGAATGTGCATATTAGTCTGAGCGTACTGAGGAGTGCTTGTGTCTCAGCATCTCCACCCTCACTGCAGCTCCCTCATGCCCTCTAGAGACTCTCCCCACCCAGTTCCCAGTGTGTGGACCTCCATAACATTCACACTGTGGGGAAATTCCACATTTCCCTTGTTATGATATTGCAAAGGCGGATAATACAACATAGATGAACAAAGTGAGATCTACCTTCATTTTTCTCAAACTCCAACTCAGAGAATGACATTGTTCAGTTCCCTGTTATATGAGACTAATCCACTTTTCAGACCCTGATTGAAACTTGCTTAGATACACTTAACTGATGGCTTCCTCTGTGTGTATGTTTTTTATGTGTGGTTCTTACCACTCATTGGCTCATCTATACGGGAAC